TGGGTAACTCGGGAACTGAGAAAGCTGGGAACCTGGGATTTCAAGGGAATGTTCCCTATCCATGTACAGCGTGGGTAATTCTCTTCCCGATACTCGGGCCAGTATGTATAAGAGGTTTCTAGCGAGCGGAATTTCGAGTGATCTTATTACAGCGCGAAACACTGCACAAACGCATGATCGCACGGGCCCGCCGGTGCGCGTCGCCAATGATTTCTTATGAAATTTACTTTTATAGTACTTTAAAGTTCTAATACGTTGATAGTGTTTGGTCTGGCTACATTTTTCGCATTTTATTTAACCGCCAAACAGGACACTATATGCTAGTATGCACACATTTTATGCGCTTGATACATAGGAAGTGAAACCATGACGTACAATGTCTGAGAAGGCTATTAGTGGCACTGGTGAACTTTCCAACGGAATCACGAACGAGTTCCGAAGGCAAATCATTTATACTTTAATAATTCGAGTACTAACGAACAAGGAATCCGTCAGGTCAATCATATCGTGCCACTAACATCACAGTAGTATTATCCACAACGAATTGATCTCTTTTGCTTCACTTGAAACCGTAGTGAAGAAACGAAACTGCACCAGCCTAGTTTGCTTATCTCGGGATTTATAAGATCAGTCTGAATTTGGTGGATTGGAGCTATGCGAGAGATAGTTTTATCTGCTCTATTATGGGCACTTACATAAAGAAGCACTATTTCTGCGTTATTTCATGGAGCAATCATCAAGTCTTTTCATCAGGTATGTGATGGTACGGTGCAGTGCAGCGATGGTTTGGATGAATCGCAGTGTAAGATGCGCGAATGCGCTCCACGACATAAGCAATGCGATGATGGTACTTGCATTCCGGAACATCGTTGGTGTGATCGTCGGCGTGATTGTCCAAATGCTTCCGACGAACTGCATTGCGAAAATCATGTATGTTCTTTGTTCACATAGTTGTTGGAGGGATTTGTTCCAAGGAGGTCTGCTTTAAGGTGCACGCTAACCACTTGTATGAACTTCTTGACTTTTATAATTCTGAGAATGAGGGTTCATTAACAGATCTGCTGCCGTGCCGATGTGTTGTTTGTATTGTAGTAGTGCTACAAATGGCGCTGCAGCTTTGTTCTGTCGTTTTTTCCGGAATATTTTTTGTTTGTGCTTTTCACAGCTTTTTGTAGCATTTTGGTTGTAGTGAGGCATTTCTCAGTTAAATTGTCTTCTTGATCTTAATCAGTATCTTACTGCTCGAAACCCTTAGCGTCAGCAGCAAGAATATGTTACACTGCTTTAACACTGTCAGTTTTCTAGAAAGAATGGCGATTAGTCATCAGCTAAAGGAGTCGTCTTATCTTATTCTTCCCCTCCTTATATTTCGATAATTTAACCGAGTCAAAATGATATTTGCAGCCAAATCGCAGAGAATGCAGTCCGTTCGAATTTGAGTGCGGCAATTCAGTG